TTTCTCTTGCTAGGTTAATATGACACAAATCTCGTCATTGCTAGGCTCACAAGATTTAGAAGGAGCGCGTGTTCCACGAATGATATCTGGGAAGTCATTACCTTGCTTTCCACCATGGGATAGTTCTTCAAGAGCTGGTGGTTACGTCAGTGACAGATTTTTAACTGGTCTCCGTCCTCAAGAGTACTATTTCCATTGTATGGCTGGCAGAAATGGGTAAAGGTTTCTTTGCTCTTTCTAATACTTAAGAAACTACCTTTTTATGCATCAATGCATACACTTTCCCAGCGTTGTTTGACATTTATAGCTTTGTTTCTAAGCAGATGTTTTGTTTTTAAATGTATATCGATTTATATCAGGCATACTTGGCTGTTCGTATTTGTTAGAAGTGGAGACAAGTGAGTTGCACAAATGGTCTAATTACTTCCTATTATAAATCGTTCGCTTGTTTGCCCTTATTTGACATAGTATTGGAAACACACAAAACAATGTTACTTCCGCACAACATTGCACACTCTTTCTTGCATCAATCACTTCACAAACAATAATGTTGACATCTCAAAATCATACTTAAGTTCTGGCCTGGATCGGCGTGCCAAGCTTTTAAACTTGCTCCGTGGACATAAGTATTCTTGATGAACCAATGCTATTTGGATATGGAGTGGTTGATAAACTTGATAATATGTTGATGTGAAGCCCGTTGGAACACAAGAAATTTGATCTACCTCCAGTTATCGCCTTCTCTCGTGTGTTTGCAGCATCCCCGTTTAGTATTAACGAAGGAGAATTATTATTCTCTTGGTGGAAAAGAAAATATTTCTCATATAACAGTGATACTTTCATATCCTCAATTGGCAATCTCATCTCATCATTATAATCAGAATATCAGATATATCATCTCCTTAGAGCCATCCATTATTACATGTGCAGTGGCTTTTGTTGTTATGATGTTTAGCTTGTGTATGTTCATTGCAGGTTGATTGACACAGCAGTCAAAACATCTCGTAGTGGATATCTTCAGCGTTGTCTTATCAAAAGTCTCGAATCATTGTTCGTTTCATATGATCACTCTGTGCGTAATGTTGATGGATCAATCATACAATTCTGCTATGGAGAAGATGGAGTTGATGTCCATAAAAGTAGCTTTCTCAAAAAGTTTAAAGAACTCGCTGATGTAAGACATTCACATTCCCAATTATAAAACTACCCAAGTTAGACTTGTAGTATGCCTTGCTCTATGCATTTGTTTGATTGGACTGCTAATTGTTTGCAATTTGTTCCAAATCACAGAATAGAAAAGCTGTGTCTGACAGGCTTGCGAGGTACAAGGGTGAGCTTGATATCTACAATGGCGATCCCCTGTCATTCAAGTCCAAATACATTACTAAACTGCCTCAAGTGCTCACCAAAAGCGCAACAAAATTTCATAAAGAAAACAAGTGTTGCTGCCGCAAGCTTAAAAAGAAGTGTCGCTGCCGTTATAACATCAAGGAGGAGGAACTAATGAAGTTACTGAAAGTCAAGTACGTGGCTAGCCTTGTAGATCCTGGTGAAGCTGTTGGTGTGATCCTTGCTCAATCCTTAGGAGAACCTTCAACGCAGATGACGTAAGAGCATTTCTGCACATCTGTTTATATGAACTAGAACTATATTATGTGCATTTCTTCAATATCGACTCCATTTTTTTTATTTGTTTCGGGGTATATTGCATTTCTTATCTGGGGACCCATTCAAAATTCTTGTATACATTTTTGTCATGCCCTGCAGACTCAACACTTTCCATCTTGCTGGAAGAGGGGACATGAATGTCACACTTGGGATGCCTCGCATACAGGAAATCCTAATGAAAGCATCAGCTAACATTGGCACGCCTTATATGAAGTGCCCTGTGCATGAAGGCAAGAAGAGGTGAGATTTATTTGTTTTTATTTTAAAGATGTGATATCAACTTTCTCTATAAAAAGTAAACAAGAATTTCAACAAGATACTTGCACTAATTCTCTACATGTGGATATTTAGGAAGGATGCTGCACGTCTGGCCGAAAAACTAAGGGGTGTTACGTTGGCTGATGTTGTGGAAGGAATTGAAGTATGCACAGTTCCTTTTCACAACAGTAATGGGCATATTTCGAGTCTCTATAAGTTGCATCTAAAACTATTCTCACCAGACTGTTACCCTCCTGAGTCGGAACTTACAGTAGATGAGTGTCAAGCATCCTTGAGAACTGTGTTTGTTGATGCAATGGAATATGCAATCGAAAAACACCTAAATTTGCTACACAAAGTTAGTGGAATCCAGGAAACAAGGGTAAAGGACACTGAGAATTTACCATCAGAAGGTCCTGAAGAATCCGAGGGCAGACCTACCGACGGTGACGAGTCTGATGCGAGTGATGGCGACGATGAAAATGAGGATGACTTGGGAGCTGATGCAGAAAAGAGGAAACGACAAGAGAATGATGAGATGGAGTATGAGGATGATATTGAAAGTGAAGATGGCATGAACAGTGACCCTGATGAAGAGACAAAACATGAACTTGATAATGAGGATGATCCAGCTGAGTCTGGTGTTGAATCAGAAGAGAATGACGAAGGACATTTGTCAGATTCCAGTAACAAGACTGCAAAATTAGAAGGCGGGCTGGCAGCTACTAAACTCAAGAAAAAGAGAAATGAAACGGTGGAAAACTTGAAGGAGCAGAAGCAGGCACATATAACCCAGAAACGCAGCAAAAAGTTAAAGCTGACTGTTCATGTTGAAAGCGCAGATTTGAATTTTGAGGTTCACTACATCTTGCACAAGGAACCACATATTTTACTATCCCAGGTACCTCATCATAAACAGAACACTATATGTTTGCTTTTCTTTCAGATGGTAGTAATTGAATACGACATAACTTACTTTTTTTTTGTTAGTTCCTCTCTGAACATGTGTTGATCTGACTATACTATGAATCAATGGGGAACTTGTATCATGCCCACCGTATGCTTATGGTCTAAACTTTTCTCGTGCTGTTCAATTGTGTCACGGCAAGCACTGCTGCTGACATCTTGTAAGTTTAGTTGTATATTGTTCCAATGAGTAATGGCATTGCAGTAATCCATCTATGTGTCTTAGAAGTGATACATGCATTTGATTAGGATCATGTTATGTTTTGGATTTAAAAGTTTGTAGGCAATTTAAATCAGTATTTGAGAAAGTTAGTTGGACCAGGCTTTCTGCGAGTCTATGGGATTTATAAAACTTTGGGCATAAGAAAATCTGATAGAAGATGCCTTTAATTTTGCTTTTCCAGATTGCCCAGAAGACATTGAGGTCCCTATTTGTCAGTGGATCCCATAACAAAAACATAGGTCTATGTAATGTTATTTGGCCAGAGAAGAAAAAGAAAGGTGAAACTGAAACCAAGCAAAAAGAGACAGAGAGGGAAGAAGCCTATCGAGGGCTGCAAACGGCAGGACTGGACTTTGAGGTATTCTGGGATCTGCAGGACTTCTTGAACGTCTGCAAGCTTACATCTAACGACATACATGCTATGTTGAGGACATACGGGGTGGAGGCTGCGAGGGCCACCATCATTAACGAGGTGAAGGCCGTATTTGAGCCCTTTGGCATCAAGGTAGACCCGAGGCACCTGAGCCTAGCGGCTGATTACATGACCTCGGGAGGCTCCTACCGACCGATGAACAGCCTCGGGATGGCCCGGTTCTGCACGTCGCCGTTTGGCAAGATGAGCTTCGAGCAGGCCACGAGGTTCATCACGGAGGCGGCCTACCATGGGGAGGTGGACAACCTCACGGGCCCTTCGGCGACCGTGTCCCTGGGGAAACCGGCCAAGACCGGGACCGGTGCCTTCGGGCTGATGCAGAATATCACCCTGGAGGAGCGGGCGGTGATGTAAGAGTGCCCTACTCGGACCTTGCTTTGGCATAGATCACAAGAATCTGTTGCTGCGTGTCCAGCCATCACTCGTGTGTTTTGAAGGAATTAGTCATGTGAATAACTTTTTTGTGCTTGCTAAGAGCAAAGCGATGTGATTCTCACCTGTTTGTATCTACTATACTACTCATGTAGCTTAAGTTTCTGTCTATTTGGTACGATAGATGCATCCGTTGCATTGCAGTTAGCTTAATTTTCTTCCCACCTTTGGTCATCGACCTGGACGCTTTAACTGAATTCATGGTCCTCTCGTCGTTCAATAGTACTACAAAGCAAAAGCTGTTTGAAACGTCTTATAAAAACAAACAGAGGGAGTATCTGTTTTAGTACATGCCTATGTAGTTCTTCGACACTAAGTGGTCGTGACCTGACTTGCACAGAAATAGATAAAATGGATAAAAATGGATGTATTTAAAACTAAAATGCATCTTCGACAAGTATTTTCAGACGGAGGGAGTATTAGCTTCCAATTATATTATGCGGCGGAGGGAGTATGTACTACCAGCTCTTAGCAGCCTATCATATCATAGACTTGCACCCACACCTCGTAGACTTGCAGTTATTCACCCTACTAGCATGCAAAATTTCTTACAAGTCCTCGCGTGTGTGCATCATTTTGTGCACAGCGAGATGCATGTTAAGTTGTACTCACTGTAGAAGTTAATCACACCACACAACCACAAACCTGCATGCACTTCTTTCGGAGCCTGCTCTTTGCATATCTGATTCCAAAGCCAGGTCCCCATGAATAAAATTTGTAGTACAAGTAACAAGCCTGCTCTTGTAGTGAGTCAAATGTTGTACCAATAGCTGGATTAACCACGACTTCATTATTATTCCCATGCACTCAATATTCTGGTGCATATATGTACAAAACTGGGGAAATGAGTTTTAAAAAATGTCAACTGTGAACACATTCCTCCAGTTATGCTGCTTGCAACACCGCTATCCAGCAAGGTGCTTATTAACCAGCCAACCATACAACAATGACACATTTCGACGAAAGCCCCTTCCACGCATTGACGAGGAACATGACGGATGATTGACACGCTCCCGACACTTATTTCTTGTCTGGGATCTTCTCCAGGAGCTCCTCGAGGACCTGGAACAGATCGCCAACGATCCCGTAATCTGCGACCTGTGCAGCAGAAACAAAAACCAGGGCGGGATCAATAACAGCAGTCGATATTTGGGGTTCGATGCTCCAAGCTCAGTCTGCGGGGGGAGCGGAGTTGAACCTGAAAGATTGGGGCGTCCGCGTCTTTGTTGACCGCCACGATGTACTTGGAATCTCTCATCCCCGCCAAGTGTTGTATCGCCCCTGAAACCCCGAAAGCAATGTAGACCTCAGGCGCAACGATCTTCCCGGTCTGCCCAACCTGTGGAGAAATCAGGGCGTTAAGATGATACATCAGATGGTAACCGACGCGGAGGGATTGTATACCGAGTACATAAGCTAGGGGCAAGATCAGAACATGAATCATTTAGTTGCTAGTATTTGGTTATGCCACTCTGATAGACTCGAGGAGCTTACTTGTAGTTCATTTGGCACATATCCTGCATCGACGGCAGCTCTGGTCGCACCCACTACACAAGGGGGGAAATTCGTAAAACCGTGTGCACAGGAATGGATTTTACACGAGGCCTGGCTTTCACAGGTTCAGTACCACCTAGGTTCAATGGACAATCAAGTAAAAGCGCAAACCTGCGGCGCCAAGTTTCTCTGCCAGCTGCTCCAACAATTTGAAATTCTCGGCGCTCTTCAAACCTCTGCCTCCAGTGACTACCACACGTGCATTTGCCAGGTCTGGCCGTTCTGTATCTTGGGATGTAAGATTCACCCACGAAGATTTCCTTGAGCTTGCTGCACACCGAATTAAAGAGTTTTACAAATACGTGGCATGATTTATAGATCCGTAAAAGCATGTTTTGTAACACTAAATACAACCCGCAGATGCACGCACACACCAGTGATACTACCACCCACACCCAAGCATGAGCGCGTGCTCAAGACTGAACTATGGACTGTAAACAATACTAACTGCCTGGAAATGGAAATCTAGTAATACTCAAATCAGACCTTGAACTTTTAATTGCAGAAGTCAGAATATTATCTTAATAGATCCAAGGTCCAAGAAAGGTAATGCAGAATTAACAATAACAACTCTATAAGGGGTGTTGGCAATAAAATAATATGGTGAGGAAGCTATACAAACCTTCACTGAGGAAAGAGAGATCAACCTGGGTTATAGGCGCAACTTTAGTTTCTGACATAGACTCGGTAGCTGGAGAAAATGATGTTGATCTAATGCTCATCATACAAGGAGACTCCCCAGTATATCGTACAGTGCAGAGTGCATTTCCAGCATAGATTGGCCTTAAAAAAGAGTATGTATTAATCAAAATATGATATATATCATCGAGTTGGCTATGCTAAAACATCAAGGCATATGATGATTACCCTACGAATAAAAGCAAAGGTTGCTGTCCATCTTGTATTGTTGATGAATCACTACTGATAAAACAATACAAAACAGTGGAGTGGAGTATCGTACCTCACAAAGACCCGGGGCTCAGAGATTGCAGTGACGTCCGTGACAGGGGAGACATCTAGAAGAGCCGCGGCGCGTGGAAGCAAATTCTTCCCGAACGATGTCGAAGAGGCTATAACATGAGAGTATCCCCCTTTCTGCTGCACGGAGCGGAGCAGCTCGGCCCAAGGCTCGGCTAAAGGATGTGCAAATATGTCTGAATCTGCAACAAGAACCTGCAACGCAAGAGAGCCGACAGATAAACAAATGAACATCTGCTTCCTTTCTCGCCAAGTTCTCTTCACCCTCTCAGAAGTCAGAACTGAAATGGCAAAAGAAAAAGAAAGATGCAGTTATGCAAACACAGATACTAGCTGACTAGTCAGTAAGTAACAATACCTCATTGACCAATGGGTGGCTAGATGCAGCATGCTCAGCAGCCTTATGCAGAGTCGGTCCGGATCCACCGAGGAGAAGAGACACCTTATTCTCTTTGGCGATGGCCTCGGCGGCCGCCAGTGCGCTCAGAGACGAGGGCTTCACGAGCCCGCCTTCGTGCTCCGCTATGATCAGTGTGCTCACCTAGCAAGAAGGAGAACACCAGAGTCAAGCTGCGAGGGTCGAGGCCTGCGGCGGCGGATCCACCATGCAGGAGACACAGGGCAAACTAACGTTTTTTTAGGTGATGATGATGCTGAGGCAAGACTGAAATTCAATAATAATTCAGCAGAAGTAATGGCATAAGGTAGCTTCCACTCAGGTGATACAGACACAGAATGCAGCATTAGGAAGAGGCCGTAGCAGGCATGTACAGGATGGATACGAAGGAAATGAATTCATAGGATATGACCCTGAACCTAGCACAGGTGAGGCAATAGCCTGAACCCAATCCAATCCAAGGAGGAGTGGAATGAATTGTACCACCACTGAACTCTGGTAATTCCATTCGCGTGTGAAAATCTTTACAAGATCAACACGCAAATTCCTCTTCCTTTACTTATAGCATTCCCACGCTACTCTGGAGCGGAGTAGACAGGTACTGTAGTAGGCAGTCATGGAACTGAAACTGTCCGAGAAAGACAGAGAGACAGAGTTGGTTCGCCCCTCCTCCCCTCGCCTCGCCGCGGTCGTCGGGCTGGTCCGGCTGGCCACCACCACCACCACCACCGGTGCGTCCGTCATCGCCACGGTCGCCGGCTCTCGGACGGGGACGAGGCTCTACCTCGGAACCTGATCGGATCGAACGCGCGCGTAGGGAGGGGAGAAGGGGGAAAGGGGACTCACGAGCCTACGCAGCGTCCTCTCTGCCGCGCCGCCCGCGCCGGCTCTTCCCCGCCGGAGCGCTCCCGCCACCACCGCCGCCGCCATGAGCCTCCTCTGCCCCTCTCTCTCTCTCTCTCTCTCTCTCTCTCTCTCTCTCTGAGAAACGGGGCAATGCAGTGAGCAGAGATGTGCTCCGGGGGTGGAGTAGAAGAGTAGAGAGACGTCAAGCAACGGACTAACCAATCTGCGCACGTGTGCATCGCGGTCCAGATTTTACTGCCACGTCAGCCTACATATCTGATCCATTTCTGCATGGCTAATGGAAAATGGAAAAGCATCTCTCCGCGCACTCTGCAAAAGCTTCGAATGCACTTGTCTGTTTTAAAGAAAATGCATTCCAACTATGATATGCATTTTATTTATTTATTTATTTATTTATACCTGGTCATGATTCGGTATTTTGGAAATGCAATTGATGAATTTCAGTGGTATTCCCACTTTCCAACGGTTTTACTAGCACTTCTTTTCGCACAGGGTTCTCCATAATCAAGATTCTCGAAAACTGCCCATAAAATTTGGTTCGGTTTTTTAAGAGCATCTCCAACACCGATCCTTAAATCGTGTGCATACGTCTGGACCACGTGGTTCGAACGTGTTGTGTCATCCAATGTTGGTCTGTATCGGTCTGCATAGCGGTCTGGACGCACTTTTTGCCACAATTCAGAGACAAACATGAGGGTCTTTGCGGGCGTACGAACAACACCCATGCCTGCTTCTGACCAACCCCAAAACCCTCCCCACTCGCACGCACGCATTCCTGCCACACGTGTCGCACGAAGTAACATGGTCCAAACGCCCCCTTTACCACCTATATTGCCACATCAAACAGGTGACATAAGCGAAATCTTTTTGGTTTCTCAGACTTAAAAATGTTTTATCTCTTAAGTAAAAGTTTCGTTTAAAAATCCGTCTCGATAAAATCTTCAAAATTACATCTCATATTGATATGTTTCGACGACTTTTTTGTGCCAAAAGTTGCCATGATATTTACACTATCATTGCCATAGAGTTTACACTAAAGTTGCCATGATATATTTCATCTATTTTTTTCTTCTAGATTTAAAACTACTGTTGTATTTTTAACTACTTTCCATGGCCAATTTTATTAATTGACCGTGGCAATTTTGGGTAATTAACCACAACAAATTTAATTCATGGGTCATGGCATTTTTAGTAATTCGTCATGCCAAATTTAGTTTATAGACCGTGGCAATTTTATTATTTGTGACCATGAAAATTATTTTTTTGTGACGCACCGACCCGCTCAAGCTTCGCCGCCGCAGACCTCCTGTCTCCAGCCTCAACTCCGGCCGCTGCATCGCCCTGAATAGACTAGAAACTTGCGGCGCCATTCTGCTGCCCTGACGATCTCGGTAAGCTTCTTTTCCCTGGTCATAGATCTGTTACTAGGGTTTTGCTGGTGTTCGTCGGAGTTCATGGATGTTCGTCACTGCCCTCCTTTCCTTTTTGTCCTAGATCCATAGATTAGACCCAAAAGCCACGAAATCTTGTGCGGCCGCAGTTTTCGTGCATGTTAAAACATTAGAACATATCCCTACTGCACCAGATTGCTTCTAGGGCTCCTCTGTTCTTCCTCCGTTATTTTGCAGATGAATTTATCTCCCTTTTTATGAAAATGGTAGATCCAAATTTATACCGTCAATCTGCGGAACTTGTTTGTCCTGACACTTAGCAAATTACATCCTTGGTAGATCTTGAATGCCTCTAATCATGGCGGCTTACACCGCCGGTTTAGCTGGCTTATCCATATATCATTAGCCCTTGTTTAAGCCGCCGTGATAAACGTGCACTGTAAACTTTAACTTGCAATCCCACCAACTAATTTAAGCCAGTGAATTGTTTTCTTTTAGATTGCACTTTCACCATGCCACCAAAGACGATGACAACTTGCAACTGGGTCCCTTCCATAGTCACCGAGAGCACTCTGAAAGATTTTTGTCACCGTTGGGTATTTACCTGAAACAAATGTCATGTCTTATCGTGCTCCTGACCCGGACGAAGAAAGACTGCAACCAAAGGACGGCGAGATCATTGTCTTCACCGACCATATGAACCGGGGCTTTACGCCGTCCGGCTCAAAATTCTTTAGAGATATCCTGCATTTCTTCAAGCTTCATCCACAGGATATTGGACCCAATTCCATATACAACATCTGTAACTTTCAAGTTTTCTGTGAAGTTTATCTGCAAGAAGAACCCACTGTTGAGTTCTTCAGAGAATACTTTTATTTGAACCGCCAGAATGAATACACCAACGGTCCCAGCTTGGAGCTTGGCGGGATCTCAATTCAGCGCGGACGAGATGCCATCTTCCCTCTAATAGTTTTACCGAGCCATCCTAAGGACTGGAATCAAACATGGTTCTATTGCCAGGACACCTCACCATCTGATGAAAAACCGATGCCGGGTTACCGTGCGGAGCGTCTTGACACCACCTACAACCTCCCTGATAAACTGACTGCCGTCGAACGCAAGAAACTTATGCCAAAGATCAAAAAGGTTCAAGCTTTGCTGGGAAACGACTTAACTGGCGTTAACTTAGTCCGCTGCTGGGTCGCATGGCGGATCATCCCTCTAAGCCGCCAACCCGGCTTGATGTGTAATTATACCGGAGGAACAGATTACCCTCTGCGCCATAGTCCTCTACGTTTGACCAAAGAGGCCATCGTTGAAATGGCGAGCACTCTTGTTAACAGTAAATATGAAGATTGCAGCGTCGTGGGTTTAAATCCTTTATGCAAGCTTAACCCGGCTCCAGAGGTAAATCCTTTTAACTTCTTCTCCCTCAGCAGTTAAGTATTCGAACATATTTCAACATGTTATCCTTTCCCAGGCCAAATCTGATTTTTGGAAAGCCAAATATGACCACGAGGCTGCCAAAAAAGCTAAAGCTGCTATGATAGCCGCCAAGAAGACCAACAGAAAATCTAGGAAGAAACAAACCGCTTCTGAATTACTCAAGCTGGACGACACCTCTGAGTCGGAGGTAGCTCTTGATTCTCTTGGCCAGTTTTTTAACAACCTTATTGACACTGACTATTATCAGGGTGACACGGGAACCAGCCATGCAGTCGAAGACGAGGTAACTATTATTTCCTCCGACTCAGAACCTTTACCAAGACAGAAACCTCAGCGGGTAATCCGGAAAGTAATATTTTCACACCCCTTGGCTTATTTAGATCCTCATTTTCTTTTGAAACGATAGCAACATGAGAGCCGCTGCCAGAGCCGGACCGGCGGAGACAACAATTTACTCCGGTTTACCAAAGACTCCTCGGAAACGTCAAAATGAGGTTTCTTTCATCCTTGACCTTTTGCATGAGTTTATTCTATTGCTCTCTTAACTGAGATTGCACTTTTGCAGGAGGTCTCTCGTTCTTCTGGTGATTCATCACAGACTCAACTACCGGCTTTCAAGACTGCCCCTGGGTAAGGATAACTGCCTCTCTGTCTGTTCCTTTATATCTTTGTCACCATGCTGACTCATCACAAATTTTCTTATAGTGGTCAAGCAAAGCCTAAAAAAGCAAAGGTGTCAAAACCGGCCGAGGATCCAAAAACTGTTGAATCTGAGCAGCCGCCTCTTGTACCAGAACAATCTGAAGCACCGGAGGATCTTGTTGTCAATATTCATCCGGTTTTCCTGAGCCGTCTGTTGACGAAACCGCTTGTGATCTCTCAAATGTTGAACCGCCAAGCTCAGTTAAGCCGCCAGAGACCCATGGCGATGATATTTTGATTACTGGTTCCAGATTCGTTGAGCCGGGGAACCCAACTATGCTGGCAAAACACTCCGCCAAGCAAGAAGTTATGGAGAGACAGAAAGTGAGATTTGATGTTTCTCATTATGCTCACCTGAGTATAAGCAATGTGCTATCTGGCTATCTCAGTCAAGCGCACTCCAATTGAGACTCAGAAATTGACATGGTCAAACAGATTCAGCAGAAATATGAGGTACTGAAGGAAATATGCCCTAGAGGCAATAATAAAGTTGTTATTTATTTCCTTATATCATGATAAATGTTTATTATTCATGCTAGAATTGTATTAACCGGAAACATAATACATGTGTGAATACATAGACAAACAGAGTGTCACTAGTATGCCTCTACTTGACTAGCTCATTGATCAAAGATGGTTATGTTTCCTAACCATAGACATGAGTTGTCATTTGATTAACGGGATCACATCATTAGGAGAATGATGTGATTGACTTGACCCATTCCGTTAGCTTAGCACTTGATCGTTTAGTTTGTTGCTATTGCTTTCTTCATGACTTATACATGTTCCTATGACTATGAGATTATGCAACTCCCATTTATCGGAGGAACACTTTGTGTGCCACCAAATGTCACAACGTAACTGGGTGATTATAAAGGTGCTCTACAGGTGTCTCCAAAGATACTTGTTGGGTTGGCGTATTTCGAGATTAGGATTTGTCACTCCGATTGTCGGAGAGGTATCTCTGGGCCCACCCGGTAATGCACATCACTATAAGCCTTGCAAGCATTGCAATTAATGAGTTAGTTGCGGGATGATGTATTACAGAATGAGTAAAGAGACTTGCCGATAATGAGATTGAACTAGGTATTGAGATACCGACGATCGAATCTCGGGCAAGTAACGTACCGATGACAAAGGGAACAACGTATGTTGTTATGCGGTCTGACCGATAAAGATCTTCGTAGAATATATAGGAGCCAATATGGGCATCCAGGTCCCGCTATTGGTTATTGACCAGAGAGGTGTCTCGGTCATGTCTACATAGTTCTCGAACCCGTAGGGTCCGCACGCTTAACATTCATTGACAATATAGTACTATGAGTTATGTATGTTGGTGACCGAATGTTGTTCGGAGTCCCGGATGAGATCACAGACATGACGAGGAGCTCCGGAATGGTGCGGAGGTAAAGATTAATATATTGGATGATATGGTTTGGCCAAGGGGTCAGGCCCATGGGGCTATAAGTCGGTGCAAAAGGAGTTTTGCGGAGGCCAGGGGGCCAAACGCCGGAGACCCTGGCG